TTTCTGCACTTCGATGTATTTATTATCAACCTTCTTCTCCAGGTGGCCACGAGGCTCATTTGTAAGGTCAAAACTTTCCGAAGGAAAGCGCTTGAACCAATAACGTATAGTTCGTTCGTTAGTAGCGCTAGCTGGGTGAATAAAGAGGTACCAACTTAGCTGGCCAGAGGAGAGGTATAGGGCTGACCCGAGTCGGACGCTCTGAGTGGGCTTGCGCAGCCCACTCCGGTTGGGCTTTGTCGGACTGTGGCGGGAAAGGTGTTCTCGCCCCCATGCCGTCGCAGCCGAGTAGGAGTCTCGAGAAGAGGAGTGTTGGTATGGCGATGCAGCGGATTTTATGTCTGGAAAATGGATATATTCATTTACAGCTACTCTCAAATAGTTTAATTTTCCATAATTGAAATTATATCTGGCGTCGACTAAACTGTCTGCCAACTATAATATGTACGAGGGCGGGTCGAAAAGTTCGTGGAATGGAAGGGTGGAGAGGGAAGTGTGGACTTTTATAACTGTCACTACTTGGTGATTCAATACAACTATAAATATCAAGTTTAAGCCAGATCGGTGCATTAACCTTTGAGATATCACAGGGCAAGTCAATGAAGTGCACATGGAGAAAATTAAGTTTCGTACCGCGATTAAGTTCCTCACTAAGCAAGAAAAAACGCCACATATCATTATGGAAGAGATGTCATCTATTTACAGGCCCTGGAAAAACGATGATTTATATACGGCAAAGCCTTTTTAAGCCAGGTAGAGAGTCAATTGAAGATAATAAGCGCTTAGGCCACTCAGGGATTTTGGCAACTTCCTCAGCTATTGCCGAAAAAGTTAAAAACCTTTTTCTTGAAGATGCTCGTCTGAAAAATAAACTGATTGTAGAAATAACTGAAGTGAAATCTGAGACCATTTATAAATTCTCCATGAACATCTTGGCATGTCTAAGTTGAGTGCCAAGAATGCTCACACCGCTACAGAAACAGCAGCGGGTCGAGTTTTCGCGCGAGTTTTTGGACCTGTGTAGTGAGAACAGGGACAAAATTATGAACCGAATTGTATCTGTGGATGAAATTTTGACTTCATCACTATGAACGCGAGACAAAGCAGTAGCATTAAAAGGCGCAGCACCGCTTAAGAAGTTCAAGGTGTCACAGTCGGCTGGAAAGACTATAGCTATAGCTTCAGTTTTTTGGGATTCAGAGGGGATTTTATTGATCGATTATAAAGATAAAGTTGTCAATATCACGGGTCAGTAATACGCTACGCTACTAGAAAAATTCAAAGTTTCGATTAAAGAAAAAAGAAGGGGAAATTGGTTTCTAGGTGTGCTCCTTTTGCGCGACAACGCACCCGCTCACAGGGAGTCATGAGTCACGTTGCGATGACTTCCATACACAAGTGCAGCTTCGAAACTTTAGCCATCCTCTCTATAGTCTAGATTAGGCGCCATAGGATTATTATTTGTTACCAAATATGAAAAAAGAGCTTCAGGGAGAGAAATATACAGATGACAATGAAGTGAAGTTGGCAATATCTGCCTTTTTTGAGGGCCTTGAAAAAAACATTTTTTTGAGGGTATAAATAATTTGAACTTATTACTATTATATAACTATTAATTTGAGAAGTGTATTAGGGTTAATGGAAAATATTGAAAGGAAAAATAATTTCTTGTTTAATTTCACCCCCATTCCCTTTTATTTTCACGAACTTATTGACCTCCCTTCGTATTTTGCTAAAAAGACAAAAGTTGTAAAAAATAAGAAAACTGTCTTCAAATTAATACAAAATACGCAAATTTGCCTGCATAGGTAAATTCAACCAATCCCAGGTGGCATACGTTCCGCATCCCTATCTAACTTCAATAAAGGGAAAAAGTAACTAAAAGCTACTAAAATTCACTTTTTCTCTTCACGTTGCTGGCTCTTTTAATTTCAGTTTGGCACAATTAGAATTTGATCATACCGTATTACCAAGTACTGTTCTTCGCGAGTCTAGCGGGGCCGTACCGTTGATGCGGTTGTGCTGGGACCACGTGAGAAGAAGAGTATCAGTATCGCGAGGCACTACACTCTGCGTCTGAAACTTGGTTGGTTGGCGGCGAAACCATAAGCCAAATCCGCCGCTAGGGTCACGAAGTCTGGTGCTTCCGAGTGCTCGACTTTCCTGGCCCGGGGGACCCTGCTGTGCTGGTGGAGTTAGCGGCAGCGAAGGAAGCCTATTCTGGTGCGCTTTTCCTGAGAAGAAGGGGGATTAGTATTCCTCTCGCAGATGTGTGTGAAAGCGTTCCCGTGGGCCGGCCAATATGCGGCGAAGTTTTGCGGTGTTCCCAAGGTGTTCCACGGGACAAGGACGAGTTATATTGCACTCGCACCGACTAAACCCCATCCGGGTGTGCATAGGCATTTTCCTCTGTAAAAAAAAAACTCCGGTAACAGGTGTATAATTTAATTAAGGCCCCGATTTAAAAAGGTATTTTATTAGGGAAATTATTTTATTATTTTTAGTAGTTTGCATGCAAAATGAGGTTCTCTATATTACAGAAGGCACTACAAGAGAGAGAGAGGGTAATGTACTCTTTTTTATTTCCTTATAAAGAATGATACCTACAGTAAATGTAGCAATTAATAAATAGCAATTAAATAATGATATTTTAAAAACAACTATAATGGCCATTATACGTGTATCATGTTATATGCTCGTGGTAGAGCCATGCTGCAGCCATAATATAGCTGCAGCATGGCTCTACCACGAACTATTATTATTATTATTTTGGGGTATCTATAAAGTTTTCTCATCTGGTTGGGCATTATAAATATATAATTGTAAATGAAAATGGTAAACATACATAAATATGAATTATTATTATTATTATTATTATTTTCGGAAAGTGTTTTTCACTTCTCAGTCCTTGGACTGGCATTCAACTACATTTACGGGCCGAAACCAAAGCAAATGCAGCGTGAGGTGTGTATATTTATGTATTTTCATGAGGTCCTATTTCGTTTACTTCTATCTGCATGAATTTCCTGACAATTCTGCATGTATTTAATATAGCAGCTTTTTGCAGTGTTATGTAGAGGGTTTCCTTTAGGTCTAATAGTGTTTAGCTATGGAGGAGATGATTTGGTATTACGCCTGTTGTGGAGAGGACTATAGGAACCACATATACTTTTTCTTGTCGCCAGATTCTAGTCACTTCATCTTTGAGCTCCGCGTACTTACAAATTTTTTCTGTGATTGTCTTCTGTATGTTGTGTGTGTTGGGAACTGCAATGTCTATCAGGTACGTAATTTTATTTATTTTGTCTTGTAGGATTAAATCTGGTCTGTTATAATGGATTGTATTATTGTTATTATTATTATTATATTATTATAATATTATTATTATTATGGGGTATCTATAAAGTTTTCTCATCTGGTTGGGCAATATAAATATATAATTGTAAATAAACATGGAAAACGTACAAAATATTAATAAAATAAAATAAATACATAAAAAATACATAAATATATAAAAACTCAACCAAATGGACGCCCTCGGCAGAGGAGACCAGACGGCCGAGGGTTAGGTGGAAAGGGAAAGAAACCGGTGGACGATGCGGGCGGTATCGAAGAGCACCGCCTTCTGCATTTGAGCTTGGAGCGGTCCGTCACGGAGTCCCAGTCGCCTCAGATGACCCGAGAGGCTGACTGGAATTAACCCATTCGCAGAGACGACTACAGCTATAATTTCGGCCGGCAATCCAGCCCACATGTCGGTCACCTCGTGAGCCAGGTCCAGATATTTAGTCAGCTTATCTGTTTCGGCTTTCACGAAGTTGTCGTCATAAGGAATGGTAATGTGGACCAAAAATATCCTTGACTATGCCCGGTCCATCAGCACAATATCAGGCTTATTCGCAAGAATAGTCCTGTCTGCGATGATAGAGTCCGGACCCAGTAGAGCCTGGCGCGGTCATTTTCGAGCACGGCTTCCGGCAAGTACTTATAATACGGCAGTTTCCGATCCACGAGACCGTATTTCAGAGCGAGCTCCTGGTGTAGAATCCTGGCTACTAAGTTGTGCCTGTGCAAATACTCAGAGTTAGAAAGCGCCGAACAACCGGAGATGACATGCCTAAGTGACTCACCGGGATGGCGACAAGCTTAACAGACGTCAACGGTGCCATCCTTTAGGATGTATCTCCGATAATTATTGGTCTTAATAACCTGATCCTGTATCGCACAGACAAAACCCTCGGTTTCCCCAAAGAGGTCACCGAAACGTAGCCAGTGGAGGGAGGCGACTGTGTCTACGAAAGGCTCATGTAGAGCCTTGTAGAACCTCCTGTGGAGCTCCTTCTCCTTCCATACGGTCTCCCGGTCGGAAATGCTTTGTACTGCCAGGTCTTGCCATTGCTCGTTGACTAAGGATAGAGGGGTAAGTCCTTTATCACAAGAAATAACGTCCCTATAGTATGGATCATCCGCTCTCGTCAGAAAGTAATTACGGAGGCTGCACACTTCGCGATTATGCATGGTAAGTGCGCTTAAAAAGCAGCGCCCACCATGTTTCCGCGGCAAGTACAGTCTCATTATTGACGATCTCGGATGATGTATCCTGTGGGACGTCATTATAGTGCGGACTTTTCTGTCCAGAGCGTTCAGTTTGGTCTGAGTCCACCTGAGCATGCCAAAGGTATACATGAGAACAGACACGATCCAACCGTTATATGCGTGCGTCTTATTCACACCGGACAAAAGGCTGTTAAGCACTTTGGTCAAGCGTGCATAAAATACATCGCAAACTGACTGTTTCATACCCGCCTCATCTACACCGATGTTCTGTAACATACCCAGGTATCGGTATGTTTCAGCCTCGGAAAGGGTCTTTATGTTGATGGGCATAGATAAGTCTATGCCCTCAGAGTTAGCAACCCTTCCCCTTTCAACATGGAGGATCGCACACTTATCCGTCCCCAGCTCCATTCCAATAAAATTGCTAAAATCACACGTGATGTTTAGCAATTCCATAAGATGGGAGCGACTGGAGACGAGAATAACTTGAGATCATCCATGTAGAAAAGGTGGGTCACTTTTGTACCTCCTTTCCGAAGCTGAAATCCCCTCTCGGAGCCCTCCAGTACGGTACTGAGAGGGTTCAGAGAGAGGCAGAACCAGATTGGACTCAAACAATCGCCCTGGAAGATACCCTTTCTTATCCTTATGTGGTTCTCCGCAGCCGTCATCCGCTGGCCTAGATGACAAAGGATCGTACTCCACTGCCCCATACACTGCCCGAGGAAGTCTTGAACCGTACATTCAACCTTGTACAGCTCGAGGACCCTCTTAAGCCATGTATGAGGCACCGAGTCGAAAGCCTTTTTGTAGTCTATCCAGACGGCGGAGAGGTTCCGACGGTTGCGTTTAACCACCTTGCCAATGACCGCGTCAATGAGGAGTGGTTCCTTGGTTCCACGACCACCGCCCCGACATCCATTTTGAGCGCGCGACATCACCTGATTTGAGTTCAGGTGACGAGTGATTCTCGCGCCCAAAATGGATGTAAGTGTATTTGGTAGATAGACACGTTATGGGGTGGTATTTGCTCGGGTCTGTGGAATCCCGGTCTTTAGGAACCAAATGAGTGATCCCAGTAGTGAAGAGGCTAGGGAGTGACTTTTGGTCGAGAGCCTCTTGAAACTGTCGGGCGAGCACAACATGACACACCACGAACCCCTTCAGCCAGTAGTGATGCAGTCCGTCGAGTCCCGGACTTTTCCAGTTCCGGGCCCTACGGACCACCTCGGCTACGTCATCCGGCGTTATGATGACGGGATCCATGTACAGACCGATGACGCAACCGCCTGTATAAAAGGCACTTGTTTTGGCTCGCCGCTCACTTAGCGGTTAGCCACCGTAGAGTCTATATCACCTGAGGATGCCTCGTGTAGAGGCGAAACACGTGTCGTATTATCGTCAGTGGTGTGTCTTGCCTAGTGTAGTGGTGTTGGGAATAGCGGTGCTGGAATTAGTGGTGACGGGGATAGTGCACGCAATTGAGGGAGGGCAGGAGGTGCTCTTCATACTAGGTAAGACACATCATTTTATTTTATAACGCGGATATTTGCGAAGTAAATTTTTCTAAAAGCTTTTATATAATGGATTTTCGCAAAGTAACGCCTGATTCTATTAATTAGAAAGAAGGTGCATTTTTTCGCGGTGTCGCCTTAAACTACCCTAATCGTAACACACAGGATGATACAGGCTGGTGGATTTTCTCGTACCGCCACTACACGGCTAATAATGAATTTTTCCTGTACTGTCGAGGCAGTTTACATACTTTACTGCACCAACAAGCCGTCCACATGTGAAGTCCACTAACACCCGATTAAGCAGCGCGACGGTCTTATTAACAGCAGCAGCAGCGAGAATAAGGCTGTAACTTTATTTTTAATTATTTTTAGGTGATTTCAAAAAATTTGGCGTTTTACAATTCGGCTCTATGTTTATTTTTATATGTATTTTACGCGATATCTTCCTCAATTATGAACCGATTTTGATGTTTTTCCACCGACTTCAAAAAGGAAAAGGTACTCAATTCAACTGTATGTTTTTATGTCTTAGACCTCATAACTTTTTACTGGGTGAACAGATTTCAATGATTCTTCTTTTATTTGAAAGCTGGTGCTCTACATGTGGTCCCATATAAATTTGATCAAGGTCTGATCAATAGTATTTGAGTTATTCTTTACAATTTATATTGAAGTCGGTTGTACAAAATTTTTAATTTCAAATTATTATGTTAAATTCATATCATTGAATGAAACACTTTATCATTCAAAAATAATTTGATACTACAGGTAAGAAGTATTTTTAGAATGAGAATATACTTTTAAGTCTTTGAGTACTAAATATATTTATGATGAGCAATATTTGCAAATACAACCAGCGATAAAAAATGAAAATGGAAATCTCGGTTGTTCATGGAATTTTATAGGTTGTAACTTTACTTTTAATTATTTTTAGGTGATTTCAAAAAAAGTTGGAGTTCCACAATTCGGCTCTATTTTATATTTTGCGCGATATCTTCCTCAATTGTGAACCGATTTTGATGTTTTTCTACCGACTTCAAAAAGGAGAAGGTACTCGATTCGATTGTATGTTTTTTATGTCTTATACCTCATAACTTTTTTCTGGGCGAACCGATTTCGATGATTCTTTTTTATTTGAAAGCTGGTGCTTCTCATGTGGTCTGGTGGGAATTTGATCAATGTCTGACTAATAGTTTTTGAATTATTCTTAATAATTTATATTAAAGTCGGTTGTACAAATTTTTAATTTTTAATTATCTATTATAGCTGTACGCTTGTGGAACGAAACTTTTAAATATATTCGACGTGTTCAGTCCCTTTTTTCTGCGACTTTTTTCTTTTTACTTGGAAGTTGGAACTCTAATATTTCCCATAAAAATTCCCGTCCTTTTTTGTATTTATCATAATTATCCTCAACAGTCATCATTTTGTGTTTTTTTTTAATTGTTTAATTTACACCACCCTTTTCGCCATTCGTTGTGTTCTTTGAGTAAAAAGGTTGCCTGGAAGATATCGCGTCTAGAGCGATAAAATGGACTATTGTATCTTCTTTATAATATATTGTACGCCTCATAACACGAAGTGTTATTAGGTATTGTATTATTCTCGGCACGTTAAGATCAAGCAAATATTGTGGTCTTAAAATGCTTCTATCATAACCATATTCCACTTATACGATAATATGATTAGCCGTATATCTAGAAAACAGTCTCATTAATCCATCTTATATTTTCTAAAACATCCTTTTATATTGCTACTTTGATAAAAAACGGATTGAAAAAAAATTTACGTGGATTTCCGGATGTTAAATTTGTATGTGGTTACGATAACTCCCGAAAATATTGAGGTATCGAGACCGGGTTTTATTAGCTGCAGAATTACGTCAACTGGTTCCTTATTTGATATCAATAGCCTAGTACGCGTCGTTTGTTAATAAAATGACTTTAAAGTTTTATTAAATTTTATTGCTATTAAAAATTTAAAGGCGCTCTCATTTTCTTCTTTAGCCCTTGATGGACAAACTTTGTCCGACAAAGGACAAATGTACCATACCGCCTATATCGATTTTATACTCTATGTAATCAATTTATTGTGGTAATTTTTTTTTTCATCAAAACTAAATGAAACGCTCATGAGGCGTGCACTTCTGCACTTTAATGTATATTGGTGTACAATAAAAAATTATTGTTTGAATGATTGAAATAAATCTACATTTAAAAAATAAATTTATGAAAACCTAGTGTGTTGTAACGTGTTGGATAGGTAAATAATATAGATAATAGAAAGTATTCTTAAACATTTTCAAAGTTCGATTCGTGCGTGTTACGTGTGCAGCACGTGTGCGTTGCGGCACAATTACAATTGTACAACTTTAAAGCAAACGTCGTATCGCTTTCGTTCACACATGTTGTACACGGAATGAAACCAGCGTGACGGCTTCCATCGTTTCATACATTAATATTTTTGCATCGCATACGTCGGTGCGGTCGTGGTACGGTTTGGTGTAAGGCTGGGTTTTTAATCATACCATATAAAATTTCTGTGTACAAAACAGTTATAAACGTAAATATAGAATTATATACATTGTACAGATTTATTAAAGTTAAGAGTTCTTTACTGAATAAACGTATTTATATGATGCCAGATTATTTATTACTTTTAAATTATTTACTGCTAATTATTCTAATGCCGTGGCAGTTCAGGAGCCTAGTGTTCGCTCTAAATTTTATAGTACGCAAGTTACCCGGGTTTCGATCCACGCCATCACACATTGGGGCAGCGCGGTGGACACTCCCTTGCCCTCTTAGTAATAACAAGAGGCCCAAGCGTGGGACGAATATGGGCTGAAACTTTACTTTTTAAGTGTTCTAATAAGTGCTTAAGTGTTATAGTAATGATGTAAGAGGATACGTAGAGAAAACAGATATTTTCTTATGGAAATAAATTATAAAAATAAGTATTCACTTCGAAGGTTAAGAATGAATAAATAATTAAATATATTTGTACGAGTGGTGAAATCAAAATATTTGTAGAACCGACTTCGATATAAATAATTTATTATTGTTTTTTTTTTAAAAGCCGCTCGACTGATATCGATAAATGGGACAACCTGGGAAGTACCTTTTGAAACAAAAAATAAATCCAAATCGGTTAGGGTAATCGGTGAACATACATAAAAAATTTCGATGAATTGAGTACCTCCTCCTTTTTTGAAGTCGGTTGAAAAGAGAGGAAACAATATTACATTTCGATCTTTAATATTGCGTAATGCGTAATCTGAGTAGATTTGCAGAATCATTTACTTCATTTCATATTTAAACAATACGAACCGGGCTGTGCCTCTATTTGTATAGGTAGACAATTAGCAAAATAATTAAAAACTTTTGCACTCATAATTAACAACCTGTTTTAATCTTTAAAAAACCTAAAGCACAAAAGAGACAAAGCAACATTGGAAACAATCCGTAAAGGCGGTATTCTCACAGCCAATCGTAGCCCGTAGACGTCTACGAGGCCGGTAGCGCTCTGTGACGCACACAGAGGGCGGCGTAGAGCTACGTGAAACGGGTTACATTGACCTCTCTTAAACCTCCGCATTCTCAACAAAATAATCACAAAAATTCTTTAAACACACGCGACGGAATTTTCGTGTGGCAACACCGTTTCGTTTATTGTAACTGAAGACGGAAGAATCGTGAAACTAACGCAGTGTACAACGAAAACTCGAATTGTTACGTTGTGATATTAAAACACCGCAGCACTATTAGTAGTCGTAAATTGGGAATTGGTTATCGAGGGCGTCATTTGGGCGGATGTGACAGGAAGTGAAATGTTCTAACAAGTTTCGCGCTATGACCACAACATGTTTCAACAAAGATAAAAAGTGCTGACAACTCGCGATCATTTAAGAATTCTGTGCGACACGTATGCATCGATGGAACAGTGTACCAACGGCGTTTTCGCGTTCATTAACAACGGACTCGATTTCATAAAAAGGACGGTACGTGTTCTCTGATTCGGGTAGCAAGGAGTATCATTCCTGGGTTCGCTGGGCATTGATGGTTCAGGAAGGGTGACGTTTGGCGGAGCAGGAAAAGGGAGAGGACGTGGCCAGCATGAGCGCGGGTCGGTAGCGACGCGCAGGCGCGGATCGATCGCCGGGCATCGAGCGGCGCGCAGCGGGTCGGGCCGGGAGTCGTGCGGCCAGCGGGCACTAGGCGAGCGAGTCGCTCCGCCAGAGGTCGCGCTGACAGTCGCGCGCGGGCCGGCGTGCGAGCGCGCGCGTCGCACGTGCATGGCGCGCTTGTCTGGATGCCTCGCGCCCTCGGGGAATGGCTTCGTCCGAGGAAGAGGTGACAACCGTGTCGACTAACCCTGAAGATGACTGCCTCAGTGTCCGAAAATGGTGGTGCTTCCTGCTCTCTTCGATCTTCACGTTCCTCGCGGGGCTCCTGGTGGTGCTGGTATGTCGGGCTTGCGCGTTCGTCTGCTGCCGGAAGGAGCCGGAGCTCGCGCCCAACGACCCGAAGCAGAAGGAGCAGAAGGCGGCGCGCCAGAACAAACAGGAGTTCGAGGGAACCTTCATGACCGAGGCGAAGGATTGGGCCGGCGAACTCATCTCCGGTCAGACCACCACAGGACGAATACTGGTGAGCAAACGCTTTAATCATCCATTGTGTAAGACATACATTTTTAATCACGATATATAGCGTAATCCTGACCACTCCATTGTGAAATTGTCGCCAAATTTGAACCTATAATAATATGATGAATCGCGATCGCTTCGAATCTCCAACGTTATAGTAACTTGCAGCTACGCAATCTATTTTATTTATCGTTGCGCAGAGGCGTTCATTAGGTAATATATACAACGTATCATCTAATATTTACGCGGTTCTTTAAGACCTTTTTACTAGGCCAATATTCAATGTATTATTTAACGTGAAAGATGTTCACGCAATCGTTATAGATTTTATAGTAAAGAATTTCATTCAATAAAACAAGGAGGGTAATTAACAAAACTGGCGTTCGGCCACTTACTCCATCTCGTTATGCCGCACCCATTGTAAAATAACAATAGTTTTTAAGCTTTACCGCTCGATTTCACGACCCATTATAATTTGATGTGACGCCTGGTTTTATTGCTGATATCGAAACGTGGCTCATTACCGATGCATGTTACTGCGGACATTTTTTTTTAATAGAAGTAGTGACAATCGAGTACCGTACCAAACCAAGTAGTGGCGTTATAAGAATATCTGCTACCCCATATCATGCCGTGGGTATCGTCAGAGGCGACAGAGGGAAACAAATCAATAGATGGGCAGCAGCGTCTTCCTAATAACGACAAAAAATAAAAACTATGGTTGCCAACCCGCTCGCCAAGCGTGGCAACTATGGCAAATATCCCCCTATGAGGCAATCTGTTGCGGAGGTCTATGTTCAGCGGTCTACTTTAATAGGCTGCAACCGTAACGATGGCAATCGAGCAATCTACCTGACGGTCTTTCAACTTTAAACAAAGAAAGCAACAGATGCGTTCACCTTTGAAATCTAAGATTTAATACGTCAACTGTAATAATAATCAAAGGAGTAATAATTACCACACAAGTCATAATATTCAACTACCTTCCTTCCTTTTCTGCCGACTTCCAAAGAGGAGACGGTACTCAATTCGACTATATGTTTTTTTTATGTGTTACCTCATAACTTTTTACTGGATGAACCGATTTCGATGACTCTTTTTTTATTTGAAAGCTGGTACTTCTCGTGTGGTCCCATATGAAGGTCAGACCAATTGTTTTTGAGTTATTCTTAATAACTTATATTGAATTCTGCTGTACAAAATCTTTAATTTTAAATTATGTAGTATCCACTTTCCGACCTCGCGGCTTAAAAGGTAGCACATAGTTAGTATTTGGACTTGTTTTTAAAGCCATATTGTGCAGCAATAGTTCTAAAATAATAAAATTTTATCATCATTCATTTATGCTCAATGCAGCCTATCAAAAGTCCACTACTGATCACTGGACTCCCGGATAGTCTCAAAGGGAGACACCATTATTGACACGTTTAGCAGGCGGGCTGGCAACAGCAGGTTTTTATTATATTAATTTCTTATTAGAAGCTGATTCTGTTTCGTATACCTGTGTCGCCTCTTAAGCCGCCTACAGAACGATATAGAGTAGTAGATTCAATTGGACCCAGTTACATCACCACTTTGTTTATTCTAATACCTTCCTTATACTCGTAATTGTTCTAGCATTGAAACAAATAACATTTTTTTAACGTAAAAAATACTATTTCGTCAATAGTTACTAGATTAAGTTGTAGTTTATCCACTGAATAATTTTTATATGACGATTGAAAAAAGTTCTTAAAACTAGATATTGGCAACACTATTATAGTTGTTATTATAATATAGAGTAATAAAATTCACAAATATTTACGATTAAAATATTATTAAAATAAAACCGCGCTACCCGGAAAGTCTACACTACATACAAACTTCCCAGTAGGAAATGATATAATTTTAAATTAAACATTTTGTACAACCGACTCCAATATAAATTATTAAGAATAACTCAAAAACTGTTGGTCAGATCTTGATCAAATTTCATATGGGACCATGTGGACACGTATGAAGCACCAGATTTCAAATAAAAAAATTATCATCGAAATCGGTTCACACAGGAAGAAGTTATGAGGTAACATACACAAAAAAAGAAAACCATACAGTCTAATTGAGTACCTCCTCCTGTTTGAAGTCGGTAGAAAAGATATTAGGAGGTATGTAGTGAATGCCTATTAAAAATATAGAATAATTTACACAGTATACACATGCTTAGACACAAATATCCTCTATATAAACTATATAGTAAAGATATGTCAAAATTTGGAATTTTTTATATTTACAAAAGCTGAAAGTAGCCCAGATTAACTATGACGTCGGGACGTCAAACACATCAGTAGTGGCCATGGGTGCTCTTAACGCCGTCGGGAATTAAATATAAGTAAAAATAAAACTCCAAATGAAACGCGATAAAATACGTAAAATTATTTTTATCCAATTTGTACTTAAAATCGAACAAATACAATAATTTCCTACTGGGACTGGAAATTTATTAAATAAAGATTGAATAGTTAATATCCACACCCATGTTAAGCGAAAATAAATATATAACAAAATTTAAAAATCAAAGTGTTTATTAGTCGTCATTAAATCAAAAACGCGGGAAATATTTCAACCACCGGCATCGGCAGCACTGCAATTAGTAATTGCAATTAAAAAATTCACGGCGATCAAAATATCTGAGGAAATTCTTCGAAGACATACAAGTCCGCTATAACACACTAATGTATTCTTACCTCTACGACTGTTTTAGGAATAAGTACAGGCCTGTGCCCATCAGTAGATCGTTAATAGACTAATACATACATACATTAACACTCACGCATACCACCCAAAGCGTTAGGCAGAGACTACAGGTTTCCATTTGGTACGATCCTCTGAGCCCTGACACACCCCTCTCGCTACCTTCACGTCCATATAACTACGCATAAATGCTACTTGGTTAAGGGTACTCTTAATTTGGTCCATTTATACAATAGACCACTAATTTACTTTTATTTAAGACATAATAAAGAAAGAGTATCTGAGCTCATTGCGGCTACTTCCTAGGTGTCCGTTTATGTTGGTACCTCCCGCCAAGCGGCAGTACACAACTACTGTGTGCCTGGTGGGCAAGAGAACCAGTACAAATACAGCCTGTAGCCTTCTTTGTTTGAAGTTGGTTGGGTGTTTGAAGTTAGCCGCGCTGCTCCAATGTAAGTTGGCAGACTTTACATATCCCCGAAATATTTGTCATTTGTATATGCAGGTTTTTTCACTATGTTTCCACCGCCGAGAGCGTGGTAAATCACCATTTATTGCAATTTACAATTTTATTAAACCCGTTCCCACTTCCCCCGACCCCAATTGGGTCACCCGCGTTCTATGAAGTTTAGCCGCTGAGCTACCAGGGCTCTTAACCCTCTCAGAAATGAGAGGAGGTCTGTGCACAGCTATGTACGTATTTAAGCGTTATCTTTTATTTCAATAAAAGAAACAGCGGTCAGTAAATATATAATTATGTGTAATAAGAAAGTAAATTATTCTAATTCAAAATGGCAACCATTTTACCGCGTTAGTCCTGAACAATATTTAAAGTATCAAATATCTAACTAATCGGGAAGTTAGTTTAAAATCGATCGTTATATTTGTACCGAACAGACAAACCAACAAACAGACAGACAAGAAAGTGAGCTCATATTGCATTTTCATCCGATTCTGAGTTATGTTCAAAATTTCAAGTCTCGAGCTCATCGGGAAGTTAGTTTAAAATCGATCGTTATATTTGTACCGAACAGACAAACCAACAAACAGACAGACAAGAAAGTGAGCTCATATTGTATTTTCATCCGATTCTGAGTTATGTTCAAAATTTCAAGTCTCGAGCTCATCGGGAAGTTAGTTTAAAATCGATCGTTATATTTGTACCGAACAGACAAATAGACAAACAAACAGACAGACAAGAAAGTGAGCTCATATTTCATTTTCATCCGATTCTGAGTTATGTTCAAAATTTTTAGTCTCGAGCTCGTCGAGAAGTTTAGTTTCAATTACTAAATTTGACCCAAACAGACATACACGAAAGTGAGTTAATAAAAACATGGTAAAAAGGTTTACTATTTACATATTTTTAACAGATCATAAATTCATTTATTAACTGCGCTACCACAGAAAAGCTATTTTCCTCAACGTTTCGTTGTTCGTTCATCATCTCGCCAGAATGATTGATGAGCTGAAAGTTAGCTTTTTTCCCCAACTAACGTACCCAAGTAACAGATGTGACTGACTGAAGTTTTGCGAGTTTTGCGAGGTTTCACGATATTAATCTAATTACAGTTTGGTTATTTTTACATAAAAATTTTTTTTAGTTTCATCTTATTTGTTTTAAAAATAAATTATGTTTTTTATTTGATCGATGTTTGCATTCAATATTTTAAATTTAATTCGAAATATAGGGACATTCACAAAATGTGCCAAATGGCTCCTAAAATTATTTATTCATACTACTTAGTTACGGTACGAACCGTAGTATCTCAGGGGATAAAACGCAAACCGTAAATTTCACAGCATGCGAGCAACCCAGGTTCAATCGGTATAAGCCGAGGAGACAGACGATAACAAGCCAGGAGATAGGCAACACCATCCCCCTTTTTATATAGGATAGGGTGACAAACGAGCACACAGTTCATCTGATGGTAAGTGGTTGCAGTGGCCCATAGACATCTACATCCATCCTCATTTGCGAATCAAAATGCAGATGGAATGCCTCTTTTCCGGCTAAAAGGGTCTCCGGTTCTCTACACTCACCATACGAAAAACAGCAGTGTTAAGCTGCTATTTTACGCTGGTATTCTGTGAGAGCGTGGTCCTTCCCCGGTCGAGCTGACCCATACATGCCACAACTATACTACTAATATAGCTGCAGCATGGCTCTACCACGTATGAAAGCCCCCCGCCCCCCTTATAACACCTAAAAGAAAAACAATTATAGTTGCAAACCACCTGTCAATCTTGACAACTATGGCAAATATCCCCTCT